TCAAGACCCTGCTGTACAATCTTGATCTTTTCTGAAGTCAATTAATTCTATAAGATCCAGACTGTTATTTTTCCTACAAAAAACTACCCGCTCTCCTGGAAATTGCTACCCAGGCAACTGACTTGTTGACACTTAACTTTTCAAAGATCAATATTTAAGTTGGAATTGAATTATAAGAAATGTTCACTGTCCTTGAAAATCTCTTGGTAACCATGGTAGGAGGTAGAGTAGGAGGGTGGAAGGTGATAAAAGCTATTTCTTAGAGTCTTAGGAAGACTAGGACAATTGCTTTCTTTTTTTAAAGACACAGGTTTCCTTGCAAAATGGCATAAAGCAAATCCCATGGTATATGCTCAATGATTGTTGATTGAAATATAAAACTTCTTTAATATATGCTACATAGGTACTTATAGGTAAGGACCATTTAAGGGCCATTAAAATCAGGCAAATTACTTTATACTTATATTTATTTTTATGTTTTATTATGGAACATTTCAAATATGCACAAAAACAAAAAGAACAATATAATGAACCTTCATGTACTCATTGTAGAGAGAGATTCAGTAATTAGCAACATGGTGCATTTCTTATTTCAAATATCTCCACCTCCCTCAATTCTTCTGGTGATGTTCTTTTTCTAGATTAAGAATCACACAAATCTGATGAATAGCAAGGCGAATGTCATGCCTCAGAGCTGATAAATGAACTAAGGAACCCTTTAGAAAGAGTTTGTGAGGTATTCAGATTTTGAGAACCTCATTTACTTCAATAATTACTAAAGACCAGAAATAGTCTGATTATATTCCCATTTAAGAAGGAGCTTCCTTGTTCTGCTTAATTCATTAGAGAGGTAAATGGTCATAATGGTTTTTGAGCCTATAACTGGTTCTCTTTGCTTGGCCTTTGTGATCCCCAAACACGCAGGTTTCCATAGATGTTCAATTATATTTAATCATTCTTTTCAATATCTGTGACTTCGAATCAGGATTGCATGAATATATCTATCTTTATCCACGGCTTAAGTCACCCCCTGTTCCAAGTTTTTGAGAATATTATATGTGGGATTTTGTCAAATAAGATTACTCTCATCATTTTTATACTCCTAAGTGCTTCCACTAAAAAGATTCAGGTGGGAAGGGAGCATGACAGTAATTCTTGGACTGGTACCACTTTTCAAAATATAACTCACTTCTCTACCATTTCTCTATGAATAACCCACTAACATGCTAAAAAATTCAACTAATCACACTAAGATGAGCCAAAGAAAAACAAGCAAAAAAATGATCAATTGACTACTAAAAGGTCAAAAACAGTAAACTTGTCTTGCTACGATTCAAATGGGTAAAGAATATCTCATATCTGCATTTTTAAACACTAAAATCAATAGAGTAATTTTAATGAGGTCAATGAAACAGAAAAAAGACATCTATGATTACCTGAAAGTGGTATCAAATTGGGATTTTAGGTGAATATAGATATTGCCAAATTCAGAGACTTTTATGGTACAATTGCACTCTCTTGGCAATGGCATAAAATCACCTATATGCACTGAATTTCTTACTTGGAACATATTTGGAATCAGTGACCACCACTAGATCCAAAAAAAAAAAAACATGTTTATTATTCATAGCCAAATACTACCTACTTTACTTATGCCATTCAAGAAGAGAGCTCTATATCTCTGAGTTGACAAAACACTGTTGTTTCCTTCAGAACAGTGGTTTCCAAACTTTTTTCCTCACCAAGGCACAAAGGAGTGATAATATTCAAAATTTTATCCACACCTGTAAGTTCCAATCACTCCTTAAGACCTGCTGCATGAATAAAATAGATCACCAGTTATACTTGAATATAAGCTTCTGTTCAGTGGAATATCATCCTTTATTCTTCTACGGATCTAGATGTTAATTGAGAGCCACTGATTTAGATGACATCTACAACGGATACAAACAACGTTAACTGATAAGTACTTGAAAGAGAGGGCCACCTAAGGGAAGGATTTCAAGGGCATTGAGAAATCTCACTTATGCATGGAATAATGCAAAGCTATGCTTAAAAGCAAATAGGCTACCAGCTGCAATGGCCTAAAAGCATCCACACCCCAGTAGCTACAAGTACACATAGCACTCAAATCTTTGTTTATTAAAAGGAATCGGGGCTCCTTGGAAAAATGGCAGATTCTAGAAGTGGAGCAGGAAATATATATGATAAGCCTGAAGTATTTTATAGTATTAGAATGTAAGGAAATGCTCCAAAAAAATAAATGATGAGGTTATGTCAAAGGGACAGTTGCACCAATCAAAAGAGCTCCCAATGGACAAAGGTGGAAGAATAGAAGCTAGAAAATAAAATAGCATTGGATTATAACTCAATGTATAACATAAATATCCATGAGTCCACACTGATATAAACAAATGATTGAATAAATAAGTAACTGGGAGATAAGAGACAAATATCTCATGCAGAAGAATTTCAAATAATTTTATGTAGATACTCCACCCTTGATGAAGTGAAGCATAACTCCCCACTCCTTAAGAATAGGCTGTGAATAACTACTTTCGTCCAAAGACGAGAGTATGAAAAAAGAGAAATAAAGAAGAGTGACTTTACAGTGTAGAAAGACAAATACTACTACCAGCTAAGTGATCAAGGTCAATATCAACAGTGATAAGGCACACTGATACTTTGCACCCTTGATATGATGTGACTACGTACCATAGTCATGTAAGGTATTTTGCCTGTGGTCTTCCTCACAAAACTCATTACCTCAGTCTAACCATGAAAAAAAAATATTAGATAAGTCCCAATCAAGAAATATTCTATAAAATATACGAACAGTACTACTCAAACTGTCAAGATCATCAGACACAAGGAAAGTCTGAGACACTGCCATAGCAAAGAAGGAACCTAAGGAGACATGACAACTAAATGTAATGTGGTATTCCAGATGGGATCCTGGAACAGAAAAAGGGCATTAAGGAAAATCTGAAGAAATCTGAATAAAGTATAGACTTAAGTTAATAATAATGTACCACCATTTGTTCATTAATTGTAACAAACGTACCATAGTCGTGTAAGGTGCTAATAATCGGGGAAAATGGGTGTAGAGTATATCGGAACATTCTGTACTATCTTTGCAATAATTCTGTAAATCTGAAACTGCTCTAAAATTTAAAAAGTTTATTTAAAAGCAATGGGGACTTTTATTAGAATACTTTTTGGGAACAACAACAAAAAATAACTGGAAACAAAGTATATGCACATCAGTAGGGAAATGGTTGACTAAATTGTGGTACCAAAGACTAGCAAGCAATACAGTATATTATATACTTAAAAGGATGAGTAAACTCTCTATCAACTGGCTTCCACTATGAATTTTTACTAAGAAAAGAAAATACAGAAGAATATATAACTCTCTTTTTATTTTGTAAAAGAATGAGGAGAAAATCCCCAAGTATATATGTTTGTGTAATTAAAAGAATTAGAAGGAGATATACAAGGGTGCATATTAGATTGTTAACATTGCCTGGACTAGGGGAATGGGGAAATAGGGGAAAAAGGGAAGGAGGAGAGGCAGCAAGACTGGAGACACAAGCAGGGTAGGGTAAGTAAGCAAAAATTAATTCAATAATTCATTATAAGTGTAGTGCCTGTATATGATGGGCTGATGCTTTGCAAATAAAATTTTAAATTTGTGAAAACAAAAACATCAAGCAAATGGAGCTGGGGAGGGAAAG